CTCTCTCTCTCTCTCTCTCTCTCTCTCTCCCCTACGGCGCACCAAGAAGCAACGACGGTTATGTTCTTTTATTTCGTTTTTTTTTCAATCTATCTTTCAATAAAAAAAAATTATTTTTCTGTGAGGTGACACCCCGTACTTGGCGGGCTCCGGCCAAGAAGCAGCGACCGGGCCTTCCCTTGGCCGACCCCCCTAAGGCTGTGGCGCGTATACGGGAAGGTCCGCGGCCGATAGCTGAGCGAGGTACTGGTGGTTTAACTGGTCGTCCAAGCCACAGGCTAGTAGACATGTGGGTCTACTGCCTTCCCATGTTTATTTGTTCTTTCTTTACAGTCTTACATTTTTTATTTTATTTTTTTAATTGCATCATATGATCATACCTAAAATCGTGCAATAAGAGAATAGCAGCCAGAATGGCAGGGACTGGCTGCCATTCTCGAATTTTGGAGGTGCAGCTGAGAGCAAGGATGAACACTCTTGAAACGAGAGCTGTTGCATACTGGAGTCTTCTTGAATGATAACCTCTTTCTGACGCCGTACTAATTTATTTCCCTGTCAGATTGTGTGCCCATGCCAAACTCACGAAAACCCTTGTTTCATTAGATGTTTGGCAAGGCCAGTAGGGACCAGGGCCTCCTACATAAATGTCTGACAGCAGTCCTTTTGGAGTTGTGATCCTCAAATAGTTAAGTCCGGCGTCATAACTGCAATCCCATGTTGTTTGCACTACGTCTGCACTGCATACTTATCTTCTCTGATTCTTGTTTGACCCAGTAAGGATGTGGGTTGGGAAAAGTGCAGCTGTATGCTCATTGTGTCTTGCAATGCATTCTTTGTTTCTTCTGCCTGGTTCAACATTCAGTTGGAGTCTGCAGTTGCGGATTGGACAAATGTGCTTGGTGCTGCGATACAGAAAGAGATGCAGAAGGTGCGGTCAACAGATACTGACTTGTCCCGCTAGAAGGGAAGTGCAACAATGAATCACTTCATGACTGAGTCATAAACATGGTAGCAATTAATTGATTAAGCACCTAGGCTACCAGCCGGGCCGCCCGGGTCACCCTATTTTCCCGGACGGCCCGGCCGTGCAAGGCCCAAGGAAGGTCCAGGCAAAAAAAAAAAAAAAAAAATCCGAAAAAAAACAATGCTATGCAGAAAAATAAACTGAACAACTTTTGCCTCAGGGTCACATCGAAATTCTTTACCAAATTTAAAATAAACAATAAAGTTAAAAAAAATAATTTTTAATTTTTATTGTTTTTTATTTTTTTTTGGCCCGGCCGGGCAACTGGCCCCGGGCCACTCTGGTAGCCTAGTTAAGCACTAATTAGTTGCTAAACAATCAGGTCTGAACTTATTCATCAATCAATCAATCAATCAATCAATCAATCAATCAAACAATCAATCAATCAATCAACTACCTGACTAAGACGTGCAAGGGACCAGACTGTCCATAACTTGCCAGAGTGTATCACATTGCATGCCAAGATATCATTCACGCAGATTATGAAGCTTCACACAAACCAAAGTCGAGATGGAATGAGAACCAAGGTAGCGCAGCTTATATTATCACAACAACATTATAGAGAGTATCTCGAGTTCAAGAGTAAAGCGCCGAATAGTATCACAAGTCTCCCTCGTTCATCAACAATACAGGGGCCTGGCTCTGCCAGCGCCTCCTCCAGATGACAATACAACGCAGAACAGGTAAGTATCCACCATAGTCAACTCAGGAACCTGTCCCTCTTTCTCTCTCGCTTTCTCTCTTCTCTCTCGAGATCCCTTGTCTTGGTCCTCCTGTCCCACCATACATGCACACTCCTACTACGAGAATCTACTCTGAATGCTACTCACTGAAGACTACCTCTAACCTATGTGACACCCGCGGCCTAGGCCGCGGGCATTTCGGCCGCTGCGGCCGAGATTCTCGGCCGCGGCCGCGGCCGATGAGGCCCAGTCCGCGGCCTGGTTTTTCAATATTCCCCCCCCCCCCAAAAAAAAAAAACGTTAAAAAACAAATAAAAAATATGGGGGTGTAGGGCTTGAAAAACCCTACGCTCCTATATTTTTTTTTTTGGAATCCGACTTTGTTTAAGATTAAAAAAAAAAAAAAAAACTAAAATCGATTTAAACATTCTTTTGTTGTCCTCTTCTCTCTCTCTGCCTACGGTTTACCGGGCAGTTCTGTTTGTGACGATATATGCTACGACTTCGCTAGCTTCCTGCTACGGT